GTGACAAAAGGGCAGACGGAAGAGAAGAAAGAGTAAAAGGAGTAAAGGAGAAAGAGTTAAAAGGAGTAAAGGAAGAGGAAGAAGGTGGCAATGTAGAGGTGAGACATGAACTCAGAGAACTGCGATACTGGCCAGTTAGGGATTTGTGAGTGGGAAGAGAATTTCTGAACATGCAAAATACACAGACGCTCCTTGAGCAGTCTGCACGTGAAGTATTTTTTAAAACAAAATCACTTCCCCAGGAGCTTCCACTTCTTGCTTGATCAATGATCTGGCAAGGCCGATCATTTTTGATTTAATACTTCTGGGAACTGGGAGGAAAAAACCCTCAAACAGGCACAGTTGGCAAGCATTGTTAGCATTTGGCATCATTTGTTACTGCTGTTTATGGTGATATAAATTAGGTTATACTGATATAATTAATAACCCTAAATTTAGGTGTAATAAATAGCAGTATTTATCTAGAACTGCAGTGTCTGGAGAAGTCCAGCCAAAACCACAAAACGTTGACTACCATGTTGTGCCTGGGAGCACACACGTGGGAGTGCCGGGTGTGTGTGTAGGTGGTGTGCAGGTCTGGGCAGATGCTGGGGAACACCTGCATGAGCAGGCTGCTGACAGGAGGATGCACAGCCGGTGTACACAAAAGACAGCATAAGAGCACATCACAAGTTCACATGCAGCGGTGCACAGGCACGTGTGAGCACACACGCGACTCGATGCTCGAATGTGTGGTAACAAGTCTATGTGGAACAGTGTGGACAGCAAACAGCGTTCTGTTTCTTTATAAAACCCTCTTTCGTGCCGCCATAATTAAGCTTTATACAAATTCCTTTACTGAACCCTGTTGTCAGGATTTTACACAGCTGTGCCTATAATAGATCTAGTTTCAGGGTACAAAGATTTCACTTGAACAGATGAACATTTTTTTAAAGCAATTCAAAAAGTTTCACTAAAGGCTACTCCACACCATTCCTAGTAAATCTAGAGTTTTCCAAGAACAATATTTTCCACTTTCTACAAGTTAAAAACAAGCTTAATAGTTAAAATAGTAACAGATCTAGACTGAAGAGAAAACGCTCCTAATATGCATAGTTCAGTCTTCATTTCAAACGGCTCAAAGGTTATGGTATGTCGTTATCTCATTCTCCAAGGAAGCAAACTCAGTAAAAAGGAGGGGGCAATAACTAAAGTCACATAGTCCGTCGGTAGCAGAGCCAGGAATAAAGCACAGGTCTCTCACTCACCCACTGCATTTTATATCACTTTCCTGATGAAAGTGGTACTCTTCTTCATGGATTCCCCAACACTTAATAGAGATTAATTCCTTGTAAAGCTTTCCTATTTTACTATGATGTAGTTTAAAAAGGGGATAGAGGTATAAGTGAAGGTAGAGAGCCGTAAGACCAAACAACACTTACTACTTTGGATTCTCACAGCACAACTTGTGCAAAATGAAGTCAGCCTGCAAGGACACTTTCTGTTAAGTAGTTTAATATGGCTGTCACTTCAGACTGACTTACACTCTTGCTCTTGGAGATTAAGACTGTTTTTTCCTTGTAATTTATATCGAAAGAAACAAAATTAAAACATACAAATAACCATATCAGGTCAGACCACAGGTCTATATGAGGCAGCATCCCATCACCAGCAGTGGTCAAAAGCCAGTGTCTGACAGAAAGCGTAAGATGAACTTTATGAAGAGCAGTATCTATTATTTAATTTAAAATATATAGCCATTATCAGATCAGCTGAATATTATTTGACAAACCCTACATCTGACTGCTGTTCAGGGTGGAACAAAACACTCAGCCACACATAGCAACACAATTGCTCACCAATTCTCTCCGGATTGAACAAAGTCAAATTAGCTGCAATATTTGGTAGTGATCTATATTTTTATGTGATGACAACCCCACTCGTACATGCACACTTGCATCACCACTACCTTCATTTAGCATCAGTGACAGGGCTGCAAGTCTCTCCATCGCTGACAGACAGGAACGGATTCTCAGAGCACTGACTGAAGTGAAAGGGAGGGTGGATAGCTGCTTCCCAGCTCAGCCACACACAGCCGGAGCATAATCGCATTACTGCAGTCCTATCTGTGTTAGAGGAACATTCTCCGCATGTAACTTTCAGATCACATTAACCAAAGCAAATACCAAGGCCCTGATCGTCTTGTTGCTGCACAAGGCTCCCAAAGCATGATCGTGTGGTACCCTGCTGGGATGAGTGCTCTTCCGCTGGGCTGCGCCCGCGGCAGGGAGCCAGCTGGGGAAGGGGCACAGCTGGGCTGCTGGAAGAAATCCTTTGTAACCACGCATTGGCATTCGCCTCTGCGACGGACAGGGAAGCGTTATGCACACCCCAGCACGCAGGGCTGGGGAGGAGGGAGAGTAAGGAGATTCAAAGCACCGTCAACAAAAAAGAATCCAACTCTTTCTTAAAGAAAGATATTGAGATACCAAGACGAAAGCAACAGAGGCACTGAAACAGAAGAAATCCTTGTTTCACAGTAAGAGGTAAGATCGCTGGTTACCACATGTAGGTATTCCCAGTGTCCAGCACAGAGCCAAGATACTTGTTGGCCTGGATAGTGGATTTGATGCATTCAGTATGTCCAGTCCTCGCAGGGGGAAGGTGTGAGAGCACAACAACTTGTATAAAACTAGAAAAGAACAGCAGGTTGGGATGTTGGCAGAGGGAACACCAGGCACTCTAGCAGTCTGTTTGGGGATACCCGGTGGGACTTCCACAAAAGGGATTGTGAATCCCAGGGCAAAGAAGTCGCTTCATGAAATGGGTTGTGAAATGGGTTTTAGAGAAGTAAGAAATATTTAGCAAGTATCTTCTTACAAATACTATGGTCAATGATGGGCTATAGACCAGCTTCCTCAGAAAAGTTTCCCTCGTAACACTGACTTGAAAGATAAGAGTTTACTAGAGCATTTAAACCTGGACAAGGTGGAACATTAAGTAGCCAAATAAATCTGCATGTGCACATATGGACATTAAGGGCCTGAAAGATAACCACGCCTTCTCCGACACGCATGGTTATCTCCAGCAGACCACCAGTAAACCCGAGGCCCAGAACAGAAGCATTTCTTTCAGTGTAGAAGGACCCAAGTCTACTAAAAAAGCACATGGGAAGAAACAAGAAGAATATCTGGGCCACAGGAGGCTTCACAGGATAAAAGTATTTAAATTAAAGCATAAAGAAATGTTTCTCTCCCTTTCCCAGGCCTCATGATCAGTAACAGAGCCACGGCCAAGTCCCTGTTCCCCTGCTCCTACCCCACATGCAAGGCTTACCAAACTTTTTCACTCATCACCAGATTTAACTACAGTTTAAGCTCATCTGCACTAGGGAAGGCAGAACACCTTCCCGTGTCACACGGGCTCAGGCAGTACACTTCATGCAGGTGTCACCGAGAGCCACGTCCTCCCTCCTGAGGGCCCCTCCTCTGCTACACTCACTCCTGACAGCTGGAGAAAAAAGGTCAGACATTCCCTCCAGTCCTCCATCTGCTGGAAACTTTAATTAAGTGCAGTGAAAGGAAAAAAAGAAAGGGGGGACAAAAGCCACAACCTTTCTTTTTTTGCTTCTGCTGTCTGGAAGGATCAAGGAAGCATTTGGTGCCAGCAGAGGCTTCGAATACTCTGGGGCAGTATCCAGCTACTCCGAACAGTCCTCCCAGACTACTGATACGCTCAAGTCCTGGGGACTGTAGCAGCACAAAAGCTACGACTGTTCATAGTCACGGACGAGAGACTGTCAGAAAAGCCCAAGCTGCTCTCTGCTGAAGCCCTCGCCCCAAACTGAAATGAATTCCTTTAGAACCAAACAAACTCGACTCAGTTGTGGCCTAGGATTGTTCTTCTGTTTCTGCAGCACTCGATCTGCACAGCCTGACGCAAAAGCAGACAGGAGAACGTAGCTTAAAAAAAGCTGTTCCTCTACACTTTGCTACATGTTTCAGCGCTTGTCTAAGCCCATCTTTCAGCTTCGAGATTTGTCACGTGTTCCACTGCAACAAGCCAGGGGACACAGTTGTTGCCAAAACCTGCAAGCCCTTATCGCCAGGTCAAAACACACAACTCGCCAGCTGCTGGTGGGATGTGATCATAACGTCCTGCCCCTGCATCAGAGACAGGACTGACCGTTACCAACTTACAGCCGCTCCACAAACACCCAATGAAGTGAACAAACTCCACTGTCTGCAGAGACACTGAAGATTTTTTCCAGCAAAGCGCAAGCCTACCTTACCTTAGTGGACTCTTCAAGCCTTCAAAGGGAATTCCTCTTTCACTGGCTGCATAGCAATATTTATTTCATGTTAACATATTAGAAGCAGAGTTGTACTTTTTCCAGTCGTGAACAGGGAGAGGGAAGACAAGTTAGTGTGGGTGGGCAGGGATGGTGTAAAGGCAAATAACGCAAAAAGGAATCAGTATTTTCCAGGCTCAGATTCAGTATCTCTTATGAAATGTGGGAGGGAAGATTGAAAAGGAGGTGGGAGAAGGAGAGAGCTTCACTATAGGGAAATATTTCCATGAAAATGTGAAAATTTAATAGATCCTTACTCATCTTCCCCCCCACCAGGCTATACAAAGCATTAATTAAAGCCAGTTATTCCCAAGCATATCTGTCTTGCAGGTGAAGTCTGCCCTGCTGATTTAGCAGACTAGATAGATCTCCATTTAGCAAGAAAGATCCAGTTTCTCTGGCACCACTAATACCCCATCTAGGCAGCTGAGAAATCTTATGGCCACACACAGTACAGAATCACGTACATCTGACAAATGCAAGACAGCACACTGGGCTGTATCTCAGATTCATATTTTCTACATAGGATTGATAACAGGATGAATGAAACACAATGCAAAGGGAATTCTGCTGACCCAAAACATTGAAGACAAGACCTGCTAGGTGCACAGGGGTAGAGCCTGCAGACAAACACAGCAAAACCCCAGAATAAGTACATGTCACAACTCACTTGCCATTGATGACTCCATCAGGATTAAGCATGGGGACAATCTTGAAAACAAAACAATTCCGCAGGAGATCAGCAATAGGATCACTGCTCACAAGGAACTCCAGGGTCCCCTTCATTACCCAGCTGGCATTGCTTTCACCAGGGTGAACACGGGCCATTAGAAACACATAAGGACGATTGTCTGTAAAATAAAGCAAAAAAACCTAGACAGGACTTCTCTTTGAATAATATTTTTGCAAGTGGGTTTTATTCCTTTTTAACTGAGATAACAACCCAAGTCATATTTGAGGGAAAATACATCCCCAAGTAGTCCAGGCATTTCCTGAAGGTGCTGATTGCCAATTGATCCCAAGTTTGGTCCTCAGAACCAGCACGTGTTAATTTCATCCCCATCCCTTTGCTTGTTTATTCTGTGATACCTTACATAGATTTACGTGTACCATTAGAGGGCATTTTGCATGTGCAGATTATTGCCTCTCAAATTGGCACCAGCATATTTTCTGGCAATTCTTGAAAGTTTGACCCTATCAAACTTCACTAAGGTTTAAAAGGCAGCCAGAAATTATTTAATTTTCTAAGGCCCTGCTCCACTTTCAGTATTTCACCATTAACAGTTTAGAACTTTTTAAATCTCTAAGCAGATGCGTCCACCTGTAAGGGCTCCAAGGACATGCAAGCTGTCTGATCTCTGGCAGTAACCTGTGTTGTAGGGTTAGAATCATAACTAATCAAGTTAAACTGATGTAATTAAAGAAAATACATGAATATGTTACCCAGATAAGCTGCAGGAGTACTCAAAACTAACCATCATTTCATATTCATCCAACAAAAGGTAGAAATAACAATGTGCATAGCTAAGACAGGCTGTTACTTTTGGTGGACAGTTTTCAGTTTCATGTAATATAGGCGCACACTCAGATTTGCAAACTTCTGATTTTCAGAAGTTGCAACTAGAAGAGTTCAGCTGTTTCTAGCAATATGCTTGGCATGGGAGACATAAGCTGTGGGAATTTAGGGGAGGGGAGAGGGTTTGGGGGGCTGCTTTTAAAAAAAAAAGAATCAAAATCTTACTAAACCATTCATTGATAGGCTCTACTGAACCTGTTTCAAAGTAACAACTTGACAGAGAAATTTTCCGTGTTATCAGTTATGTTATTTGCTGTTCCTGTGAAAAAGTACCCACATTTGGTCTAGTTATAAGTCTCCAAAATACTCTCAGTATACATATGCTTAGAAAAGACCAGATTCTTTGAAGATCCCATCTGTGCTGAGCATACCCCACGGATGGGCCAAGGAAACAGGAGAAGGCAGAGGGAGACACCTGCCAGGCACAGAAAATAAAGGGAAGACAAAGCAATTATCTGTCTTAAAATGATCATTTTGTGAGCATTCACAATCTCAGGCCGTTTTCACAAGTCAACCTGACAGATTTACTTTAGTGGAAACCGTTACCTGTCAGGGCATCACAACGGTGCCAGGATAGGTTTGTCCTGCTCTATCAGGCAACGTCAGAGCTCAGGCTCTGTTCCCTTGCGTGAATTGAGGGACCCCAACTGACAGGCTTGGGAGCGGTAACGGGACAGAAAACAAAACCAAAGGCATCAGCTGAGTGCCATTGTAAACAAATGCTGAATTAGCAAGATATACGCCTTCGCCCTTAGCTCCCAAAGCTGTCCTTCAGTTTCCAAATGTTTTACAAATCATTCATCAATTAACGTGAAATAGGGAGGTAGAACTCCATGCTGAAAAATATAGGTGTTATTAAAGAGCTGTTTAGTGATTTGTCCGACAAAACAAAGAATACAGGTGAAATTTCTCATTTCACAGTCAAAGAAGGAATAAGCACTAATTCTTCATCTTAACTGTATATTCTGTATAGTTCTGCTCACTATGTGCATTACAGTACAATTTAGTTACATATTTCAGGGGTGCAGACTAAGGTTTGGAAACAATCCCCCTCCACACCTCCCCACTTCCACGCCTTCCTCTGAAGCAGTTGGTGGGCACCAGAAGAGTGAACTGCACTCTCAGCTCAAAGAGCTCATAAAGCAATTATATTCTGGTCCAGCAAAGCAACTGGAATTCTGTTTCTGAATAGCCATATATTAGTCGTTTATCATTCTTATACCTTACCTTACTGCGAGGTTAGTATATTTTGATCAATGTGTATATATAAGTGCCTGAGGCACTTATGGATTGCAAAATATTCCTTTAGCTCCTGCAGAATAACTAGCCATTCTGATTTCCGCCCCCCCTCCCCCCCCAATTAGAGTACACAATTTCTACCCCACTCCAGCTAGTTGTGATTACAGTCTACTTTAGTAATGCTTTAAAATAGCAACAAGCAAAAACTAGCTTTCACAAAGCATTTTGCCATTTCCAAACATTTTCTTCTTTCTTCCATCACCATGATTTAGTGCTGTTTTGTAGAATCATTGCTGAGCTAAACTTATGGGACTGTGCTGTTGTAGCTGAGAATGAGGCTCTTGAGGACTCCTCATGGACAACAGCTGTAAATAGCACAAAGCAAAATAAAATGTGTTCGCTTTTGCAATTGATGAATACAGCTTTAACAACTCTTACCTCTTCCCTATACTGGGAGAGAGCACAGCATCTTAATTGAGAGGTTCTTTCCTCAGTCAAAATAAGAAAAGAAAAAAAAAAAGAAACTCTAAGCAAGGGCTTTCTCATCTCAGAAACACAGGAAAGTTTGCCATAATTCTGCTAATTACAAATAGCATGGGACTAGCAGAGACCTGAGTTCTGTTCTTCCTCTCAAGGCTGATCAAAGTCAAGCTTGTCTTACTTAGGTTCAACGTCAGAAAAGCTTATGGAGTTTCCAGATCTTAAACCCCAGGAAATGGGGGGGGGGGGCACAGAGAGAGACCAGACCCACAGCCTGTAGCTCCAGCCAAGGAAGTCAGTTAAAGCTTCCTTTAAAAGCTCCCCTCCTGACAAGCACATCCACAGCTCTGACATCCCATCCACAAGAAAGTCATAACAAGGGTACGTACCAGCAGGCAAACCACAGAGCTTAACTGCCTGTTCTTTCACGGAAGCCATCACAGCCAAATCCCATATCCAAATGCTGTGCTCCCCCAGACTGCACCCAGTGTGAAGACTAATGAAGCAGCAAATAGAGCAAAGAGCTGATGAAAGGGCCATAAAACTTGCTACCCTTGAAACACCTGGGAAACAAAGATTTAACTCTGTGGCAAGCAGGAGTCACTCAATCCTATGCTTTACAGCATATCCAGTTACTTATCTGCCTTGAAATTGTTGTGATTACTGCGATAAACATTAGAGCTCATGAAAGTAGTGGACAGCAGCACTGGCCGGTCATGCTCGGCACTCCCACTGATAGGCAGCGGTCAAGATGTCTGCACTGCAGTTCAGCTGCTTCACTTCATTCCCGACTTCCAGTGCCCCCATGACTGCCGTCCTGACCAGACCACCTCAGCACTACCCAGCATAACTTACTGGTTTACACTGTTGCCCGACTGTCCTTCCTCTGTGCTATTTCAGAGCCCCTTGTGACTACCTCCTGTGCCCCACCAAACCTATCTTCAGGACACACAACCACAAGTTCGCATATACCTCCTTCCAGGCCCAGAACTGAGCTTGAGTCTTCAAAATCCTCAGACCAACACTTAGGCAAAATCCTCCCCAAGTTCTGGGGAAGCTGCCAGAAAGCTCATGTTAGCCATTTATCTCTGCAAAGCCCACATGACACATAACCTTCTCTGGGAATGTAAATAATAAAAAGAGAAAGCAGAGGAACCTTTTCATGCTACATAAAGCCTTATCCAACAGATCATGTCTCGTTACACTGTGTTACATTTTGACATGCCCAGAATATAACGTGGCACCAACAATACCTGAGGTGAGAGATTAAAGCATCACTGATTCCTCTTACAAAACTGAGCAAAACCCCTTTGAGTAATAGTTCTACTAATGTATCACCTACTTCCCACCTCCCCTTCTTTTCACTCATTTCGACTGTGGATATATACATGAAAATAAAAGCTTTGTTCTTCCAGTACTGCTAACTTGCTGCTTAATCTCCTGCTTGTTATAAGAATCCTCCTCTAGTCATGTCATCACCAAGGTTCACTAAGAGGTGACTTTGATGTCACTAATCGTGACATCAGTTGGGGAAAGAGCAGCCTGAAAGAAATGAACAAAACCCCATTAACACAGCAGTGTCCCTCATCAAGAGGAGCACAGAAAGGAAATGAAATGCAGTTCCAGATGCCCTGACCTGGGCTGATGTTCTAAATTATTTCAAGCTGAGACTTGAGCTATGCCATTTGTAAAGGGACAGGGCATTGATACAACACAGAGCTAGGATTTTATAAGGAGTCAAAGGGAATTATACACACAGCATGTGAGAAATTCAACCTAGATCCAGGTCTTGACTGGAATTTTTCTGGCTGTGCTTCTGCTTACCTCTCTTCCCTTTATCCCAAGCCCAGGGCCATTATGACACAGATTTTTTTTTTTTTTTCTTCCCCTTATGCCTAAATAAAGCATGACTTTATCACGAGCATTACACAAATCAAAGGGTCAAGTTTACCCCAGGACATAATAGACAGAAACCAAGAAAGCTAAACTCTCCCTTCCAACTTAATTAGCTGTGGCCCCTATAAGGTATTATGTGAGTCAAATGACGGGTAAACAGGAGCACCGTTACGTAGCTCTTCCATGTGTCTCACGGCTGCATCCTGTCCTGGATACATCTGATATGCCCAAGGCTGCATAGTTACGCAAAGCCAGAGAGAAGACAGGATATGGTGTGAGGTACAATAAATATATTAAAGTATGTTTGCAAAAAACATCAAATACTGAGATCACAGAAAACATGAGACTGCTCTGAGGCAGAATCTGTGTCAGCCACTTTACTCCCCTCCTAAAACTTTTCCTCTAGTTGTCAGTGTTTCAGTTGTCTTAAGATGTAATAATTCTTTTCACCCCTCATCTCCCCCTACCCCAACACTGCTGTCTCCTTACTGACCCTGTTTTTGGCTAAATGCTCCAAAAGCAGATACATCTTAAGACAGAGGCAAAATACACAGCCTGGCAGGACCAGCTGTTGTTTTCCAGAATTATCAATGAGCTATTCCTTTCTTAAATAGATCTATATTATATGAATTATTACTGTTACCTGTGGCAAAGAAGTGA